CGCCAAGGCCCGGGGAGAGCCGGGCGGAGGTTTTTCCCACCTGCCCTCCGGGCTGAGCCCCAGAGAAGGCTGGGTGGCCGACCAGGTCAGGGACAGGAAGGTGGTCCCTGCGCCCTCACCGGCCGCCGTGACACCCGGCCTCGTGGGAGGCTCCTGCAGCAAAGGCTCCGGCTCAGACCTGCAGATGCGGCGCCGCCCTTCGGGCCGCTGACCTCACCTGTGATCCCACAGCCAGTGGGGGGTGTGGGGGGGGCAATGCAGGCTCAGGGCGCTAGGCGGGCGCTCGCTCCCTTCATGGTGTGAGAACAGCTATGGGCACAGGCAGCCGCGCACACGCCCACACGTGTCCACCCCCGTGTCCCAGCTCCGGCCGCGTTACTTATTCTCTTCCCTGAAGACAAGGGGTTCACAGCCCAGGTCAGTGTCGTTGACCTTGTAGAACACACTAGAGGCCGGGGCCCGAGTCGTGTTCAGGTGGGTCCCTCGGCCTGGCCTGTGGGGATCGGGCCGAAACCGGCTCTCCGACACCCCCCGAGGGGTCCCGGATTGCGAGAGGGCGGTTCTCAGGTGACGCACCCCGGAATCGGGCTCCCTCCTCTCTGGTTCCAGTGCGTCACCCGAGAAACGCCTGCCCCCTGGTGGCCAGTGTGCGTCATAGCTACCGGTCGGGCGGCCTAACAGTTGGAAGGTCGCTTAGGCTGTTATATAGATGGATTTAGGCCCACGGTTTCCACCGGTGCCGCGAGGTTATGGCACACACAGCCCTGCCTGTAGCCCGGCCCAGCCTCTTCTCCCCGAGGCTGTCCAACGACTGGCCAGCCACCCAACACCAGCCGCCGGGGGAAGGAATGAAGTCACACCTATTGCTCTTGACAGGGCGGCAAAATACATATTTCTTGCTGAGCCACAGAATTTTAGTCCTTACTTTATGTGCCTGAAATGAAAACGCTGAAAATCGCTGCTAGGAATACATTCTGAGTTCAGAGTCAGGACGCCCCATGCTGGCCGGGCCCCGGCTTTTCTCAGATGGGGGGGCGGCCTCGACTGGACGGCATGGCCAGAAGCTCCTGACTGCCAGGCAGGCCGTCCGGGTGCGCAGCCGGGGTTGCGGGTTGTCGGAAGATCGCTCCCGGCTCAGCATCTCATGCCACGGTGTCTCGCCCCTTCCCGCAGACCCGCTGGAGGAGGCCCCAGACAGCCCGCCCCAGACGGCGGCCAACTCCGCGGCCGAGCTGCTGAAGCAGGGCGCAGGTGGGTCTCGCCCCTCCCCCGGTCGGGAGGCGGCAGGGTTTGGGGTCCCCTCTGGGTCTGGGGCTCCTCTCCTCTCCATGCCCGACGGTTCCTTCCACATCATGGCTGGAAGGCGGCTCCATGGCTGGAAATATGCCTGGGACTCCGACGTGGCCCAGTTCAGGGGGTTACGTGCCACGTCTGTGCTGAGTTTGGGGGAAATGTCATGAGACAGGATGGGGGACCTGCCCTTCTGGATGCCACTGAATAAGCCAACGATGCCCCCCACCCACCCGCACCCCAGAGCGACACCCCCCACCCGGCAGCCTCCCCAGAGCCCTTTTCCCTATTCATAGACTTTATTTGTATAGAGCAGTTTTAGGGTTACAGCAAAATGAAGCAGAAGCCACTGGGTTCCCATAGAGCCCTCCCCCTGCACCCCCGCCCCCGGCTGTAAACACCCCACCGGATGGTACAGGCCTCGCGGCTGAGGGACCTTCACCGACGCGTCGTCACCACCAGGTCCAGGACTCCGCGAGGGCCCCTCGGTGGCGTCGAGGGGGTGGGACAGGTGCACACTGACAGGCTCAGCCTCCCACCCGCCCGTCCTCCCAGCCCCGGCGACCACCGTCCGTCACCGCCTCGCAGCTCTGCCTGCTCCAGGGCTCACACGGTGGAATCACCCAGTGTTTGGGTTTTTATGATTTTACTGGTTTCAGAGGGGAAGGGGGAGGAGAGAGAGAAAAACATCCACCATGAGAGAGAATCATGTGGACGCCCCGCGGTCCCAGCAGCGCTGGCTGGAAAGACCATCTTTCCTCTGCTGGCTGCCCCCACCCCTTTGATGAGGGTCGGGGCTGGGTGTGGGGACCAGGTCCAGCTCTGTCCTGCCGTGGGTCTGTCTGTCCTGCCGTGGGTCTGTCTGTCCTGCTGTGGGTCTGTCCGTGAGCCTGTCCGCGGGCCTGTCTGTCCTGTTGTGGGTCTGTCTGTCCGTGGTCTGTCCGTCCTGCCGTGGGTCGGTCTGTCCTGCTGTGGATCTGTCCGTCCTGCTGTGGGTCTGTCTGTCCGTGGACCTGTCTGTTCCTGCATCGACACCACGGGGCCTGAGGCTGCAGCTCTGTGGCAGCTGCAGCGGCGCCGGGTCTCCAGGTCCCCCTCCCACACAGCGTGGCCTCCCTGTGAACTTCGGAGTCCGTGTCTCAGTGTCTACAAAGGAATTTGCTGGGGTTGTTTTAATACTTTTACTGATTTCAGAGGAGGGAAGAGGGAGAGAGAGAGAATCATGGATCGGCTGCCTCCTGCACGCCCCCTGCTGGGGACGAGCCCACCCCCTGGGCATGTGCCCTGACCAGAATCGAACCCGGGACCCTTCCGTCTACAGGCTCTATCCACGGAGCCAAACTGGCCAGGGCAAGGGATTTAGTTAAATCCTCACCAAGGAGTGAGGACATTTTTCCCATTCATTTTTAGAGAGAATAGAAGAGACGGGGCGGGGAGAGAGAGACATGGATGAGAGAGACACAGCGATTG